TCATATCATGAATCATCAATATAACTCTTGCATTGCACAAGTATGGAAAACTCAAAATTTTGGCTCGAACATGCATTTCTAAAAATTTTTACCCATGACCAAGTGACCAAGTTCGGCCCCGGGCATCACCGAGAAATATCCAAATTTTCCCGAGCAAGTTTTGGACATGTGAAAGTACATATTGATATCTAGCATATATCCAAATTTCACCCTAATCGGAGGTCGTTTGCATTAGAAAACATAGGGACGAAGGTAGTGACGTGAGTGGATATGTTGAACTATGAAATGCCTTTGTTACTTCAAATGTTAAGGTAATGTGTTCTAGTTGATATATCACATGATTTTTCGACGAAAACGCTATAAAATAACGATGTAAACTATTGCATAAGTGAAAAGCCTAAAAAAATCAAAAGATACGTTAATGTGGCATTTCGTCGAACACTTGGTGTGCAATGTGAATTACTTTCTATTTCTTACCTTTACTACCATGAAAGTTCCCCAATTCACAATAGTACACCAATCTACCCCAATTCATCCTAACTAACTCCACACATTGAAAGATAATCATTAAATGAAACTCGAAATTAGGGATTAGAGAAACATACCTTGTAGTTCGAATTCTTGTTAATTTAGGTGTGGTACCTCAATGTAGAGCTCAATCCAATTGAATGAAGAATGCGTGAAATGTGTGTAAGTGTGGAGGGTGAAATGAGAAGTGTGCAAGTGAAGTGTGTGCAAAGGAATGAGGGAGTGGGCGTGAGTGTGTGCTTGTGCTCGAGTGGGAGTGAGAGGGTGGGAGGGAGAAAATTGTGGAAATGAAATAAGTGGTCACGGGTTTGGAAATGAAATAAGTGGTCACGGGTTTTAACCCGTGACCACTACACTATGCGACCGCATAGTGTTGCACTATGCGGTCGCATAGTGCAAACCGTCGCCTTCTAATGGCGTTCGGTTAAGGTCTATGCGACCGCATAGACCTTTGGTCTATGCGGTCGCATAGACCAAACCGGGTTAAAAATTTTTTTTTTTTTTTAATAAAAGAATAAAAAAAAATAATAATATAATAAAAAAAAAAAAAGAGGCCCTTTTTTTTTAAAATTTTTTTTTTTTTTTTTTTTTTTACTGTTGTCCCGCATTCTGAAAGCTTAACCAAAATGAATATCTCCGCACATCGGAATGCGTGACACACACTCGAACACCCAAACACGTCATTTAGTATCCATTCATGCAACATTAAACGTGTAGTGCCTAGGCTATGATGCAAAAGATGATCGATGACCTAAGAAACAAATTAAACTCAAACAAATTCCTAAACTAGTGCAATGCAATAAAATAAAATAANACATAAACTCAAGATACATTTCAAATTTTCATTCATGTCTTAACTACTTTGGCAATCAATCTGAAAATTATAGTTCATGGATGTAAGCTACATGGTTAACTAAAGAGTGACAGTATGTGTTATACAAGGCAATGAGAAGTAGAACGAAGGAAGCCAAGATAACAAAAAATATTACTGGAGATTTTCCTGTAAGCCGAGATAACAAAATATTACTGGAAATTCCCTGTAACTATTAAACTTTGCTAGTAACTACTTTGCACCTCACTCTTCTATTGTTTTTTCAGGACTAACATTTTATATCTAAAAATACAGAAATTTTCGATGTGCAAACATTTTTGGTAAATTTTTTCAGATCTTATAATTTCTGGATAATTTAGCCTTCATTTTCACTTCAAGGACAACAAACTGCAAATGTCTTATAAGGCCCAACCACCTATTCTAGTGATTAGGCTCGCAGAATGAATATATCAACAGCACGACTGCATTGAGAGCATCTATAACAACAAACTTAATGGTAGCTCTCAAATAATAGGATAAAATGACTACATATAGAATTCGCTCATTATCAAATAATCCTTGTTAAAGGTTTTAACTCTTAACACAAGTTTGTGGAAAACAATTGTTGTACCATTCTATACTACTTGTTTCTGATGTATGAAATAATGGTTCAACAAGGATTGGTATCAAAATGGGATCGGAAGCAAATTGTTGGGTTTTTTATGATAAAAAATGGATCAAGAAGGATGGAGGGTTGGGTTGGGGGGGGGGGGTGTTGGTATGAGGTTTTCCTCTCACTTTTAACATTGGGGTTTTCTAATTTCAAGATTCTCTAGATCAGCAGCCTCTACTGCACCAAACGAAGTATGTCACTTCAAATCCCAAATGTCCCAGATTCACAAGCACTTCCATCTTTGCACGTGGGGTTTCTGCTTGTTATTAATTGGTGATTCCCAGAGAGAGTCATGGACACTTTTGACTTGAAGCACACAAAAATGAGACCAATGGTCCACCATAACTTTTGACTTAGTAAATCAACTACCAATTTGTAATATTTATATTCAGATAAGGGCAAAACCCACTCAACGGAGAGATGAAGAGAAGTATCGAGGTATTCTAAAAATCTTCCCAGAAATTTTGCGAGAATCAAAAATAACCTCCAGATTCACAGAAATGCCAATACTTGATCCATTGCTTGTAATTAGGGCAGATCTCATCCAATACATATTACAGTAACACAATCATTACCTAGCAAAAAAAGGCATGCGCCACTTAGAACTTTCTAGGAATGCTTGAGTAGAAGGAATAAAATAATGAGAAGCTACCTGGGACATTAAATTTCTGGTTGTTCGGCCAGGCCTTATGCCAGGCAAGTTATTTCCCGAAGATTCACTGTATTTCAAGCCAGAGGCCAATGGAGATCCATCTTTTCCAGATAATTTGCCTCGATTCCTGTAAATGTTAATTTGCACATCATCATTACTGACATCCTCACCAGAAGATGATGATCCGGAAGAATTTGGTCGCTTTCCAGATGCTTTTTTCTTCATGTCTTCCTTTCCATACACATGCCCTTTATTATGACCCTTATCCACTGACTTGATAGGTGTCTTGCTACTTGAAGAAGTAACATTCTTTTTTGATTGACGAGTTGGGGAATAAGAATCAGGAGAGCTCTCTACACAAGAAAATCACATATCATATTCCAAGGAATGCTTCAAAATGTCCTTATCACAGGGGAACATGTAAGTGGAACTTTGGATTGTGATTTATCAGTGTGTACACCTTAGTGAAATTTTTCGTCGTCGAACTGTAAGTAGAACTCTGTTTCATACCTCTTTCATAAGCTTTCTTATTTCGTCGTCGAGAATAGCCAATGTGGTGACAATTTGACGACCTAAAGCAAAACAAAAAATTATAAGTATTAAATACCCATGAAGGTTAAGGAATAGAGGCAGTAGGAGCAGCACACTAGGAACAAACCAATATGTCTTTTGCATTTGTATCAGTCGTGCCTCCAGTCTTGCAAGAACTGTAGTACGCTCAAACCCTTGCTTATCATGTGCTGGTTCAACAAAATTGGCTTCTAGCACACCTGATAGTAAGATGTACAAGATTATGCAACTAAACATAATGAAATTTATGGAAGTACAGAGGACAGAAGACTACCTATAACTCCACGACCATCGCTACCAGGAGCATGCCAAAGTCTCCAAAATGGCTGAAGAAATAGAAAAACTCAATATCGGGTATGCAATAAATCACATGATCCATGAAATGACTCCATGAGTTCCACATATACCAACCAGTATGAGAAAATTTAAATGCTATTTGTGAAAAGCATGACCTAATTTGATAAATCTCAGAAAAAACAAAAGAAACGTAGCCCCTGTTTGGTCCCCATTTTCTAAAACTCATTTTTCATCAAATTCATTTTCAAATGCATCCTTCATAAGACTCACAATTTTATCAACTTTTCAACCATAAATTTCATCAACTTTAATCAAAATCTACTAAAAATCTAATTCTTAACTAAACCAAATGGGAGCATAGTAACACTATATGTAACTACTAATACTGATAAATGTAATCAGATCACAACGCAAATGAACAGAAGCCAGGCCTTAATTTGGTCAATATATGGTGAGCATTTAACGTTTCATATATAGCAATAACTACAAGGAAACAGAAGACAAACCTTAATGAGTCGATTTTTGTGATAAACATTAAAACCCTGAACATCAATATGTGCTTTTGCATCCTTTACAAACCCAATAGTGACAGCAGCAACCATCTAATAGCAAAGAAAAAAGAATAATCACCAGTTTTGCACGTTAGCTATGAAAAACTAACTCTCAACCAAATATCATTATAAAACAAATTACGTTAGCATCTTTTAGGACCCCATCAGTTCCAGGCTGTGGACGATAAGTAACTTCCTGGGACATCATCATGTCATTCACTATATTATGGTGTTCAACATCTTTCCCTCGGAGAATAATTCGAAAGCTAGGAGGAATTCTGAGGTAGAGAATAGATGCATAGCTCTGCAATTTCAAGAAGCGGTTTATTTAACACAAAATTGAGAAAAGGAAAATAAACAGACTAGTAACAGTACTAGTATTACAGCCAAAGCCATAAATTTCTATGCATCCCTGCCTCCAGAGCTCCAAAAGTCACAAGGGTAACAGTGAAAAGAAACTAACATTATAAAAGCAGCAACTCACCCTTAATGAATGCCGATATGTAAGAAAGTGCCTGGAGTTGGGATACAGCTGTGCCATTTTTATGTTCTTCTCATCTCTGTTGACGCCTCGGATTTGAATATCCTGCAGGGAAACAAAACCATAACAAATGGAATGATCAATTTCGAAGCAAGTAACAGATGAAAAATGAGGATATCCACAAAAAGCAAGCACATAGGTCATAGGTGTACACGAGTATCGGTATCAAAGTCAAGTTCCAGCAGACCCTGGTCATCCTCCCATAGATTATATACGATTATCCGTGTACCATGATCCTTCATCTGATTAAACTACAAAGAAAAGGGCAAGGTTGGAATTTATGTTGCAAACACGCAAACAAGAGCCAGCCAAGTGAGGACAATCATAGAACAAGATGGCGAACATCAGCAAATGCAACACACAAACAGTGATGCCATAAGCAGGGGCCTGACACCGACAGTGGTCAGACGTAGATTCTGTCAGAATGTCTTCGAAATTCTTCCGTGTCCCCAATAGATTCATCAAATTTATTCAGATAAGACACAGTATGACTTCCCGTCAATCTTGTGACCTTATATTTATCATTTCAACGTCTCATCTTGATATTCATTTTCATAGTAACCAATAACTTCTTGTTGATAGAGATTTTACAGGTCACCTTCCCATCCCCCACCCACAAACCAAAAGGTAAAACCAAGTTAACCAGGTTCAACCATTTTGCATGGATGTCAAATATGTATCAGAGAAACTCCAAAGCTATTTGAAGTTGACTAGAACATTTAATCTTGCAAAGATAACCCTAGCTTGAAACTACTCAAAATGGCTTGAGAAGCGAAGTATGTGTCACAGGCAGTATAATATAAGGCCATCTGCAAGATTCTAATTAAGCTTTCGTTCTATTATCCATATGAACAAACATATTATAATTCAGTTACACATAGCATTTTAGTACATAACATTATCCATCTCAAAATGAATATCCTACAAGGATGCAAAGTTAGTTCCTTTTTTGGAACACATAGATACGAATGTTATTTAACAAATAGTTTTTTAGTTTCGTTTTTCTATCTATGATTCAAAGCTACAATTTGATCTATCAAGATCTTAAATCCGAAATTTCCTAATGTCAATATCATGCGTGAAATGTATTGTTATGTCAATGTTTCTCCCTAAAAATATTTACTGGTACTACTCCAAAAAACTTCTAACAAGCCATTCAATCTGACAATAGAGCCAAGCAAGGCTACAAATATAAATTATTGCAACCAAAACGAGAAGTGATGCAAAACATAAATAATTGTGGCACCCACCAACTTTTAAAAATTTCAAGAGTTACATAACTGTTTGCGTTATATGAGCATAGTCTTAGCTCCAATCATAAACTATGTTTACTGTGAAATACAAGTACTGATGTCCCAATCTTGTATTCTCTCCTCACTATCTGCATGGATGGACTTAAGCACATTAACATGTTATATTCAGGGGAGGAAATAACAAGTTAAAACAGGAACTACATTTCCCTGCTGCATCAAATAGTTTGTAGGAAAATCATCTAGAGAATGTAATATTGATCAGCATCACAGCTGATTCTCCCAGCATCTCAATATTTCAATGTTAAATAAACTATAAATCTAAGAAGCTTCTAGCTTCCCTAAAAATATATACAAATAATACAAAAACCTCAGCCACATAATCAATAAAGAAAGGGAGCATTGGCGGTACAAAAATCTAGAAAATAATTAAGACAGAAAATTATTGGAAGTCAAGTAAATACTCAGAATTTGTTGTGACAGCACTTTATCCATTTTATTGTTCAAATGATACAGAGCTCTGGGCAGTCTACAGTTGAACTATTCAAAACAATGGGAACAATACCGATAAAGAAAAACCACCTGCCGAAGAAGATCTGCTTCGCTTGAAAATGGTGACCATTGGACTATTGTTTCAACATTTATATTCCAGTCACCCGCGGAAGATCGAATTATCTTATGCCATTCTTGTCCTCTTCTTTCATAATCAAGCTTATGATCATTAAGAAAAATCAACAATCAAAGTAGCACAAATAAAATAGTAATAATAAAAAACTAGCAAGCAGGAGTACAAAAATCACTGCAAAATATTAAAAAAAAAAAAAGAAAGAAAGAAAGAAAATGAGAGACTGAAAAAATTCCTCAACTTAGTTTTATAGGTATCATACAAGCACAGACTCCAACATTTAGAGCCTCTTTGATGTAGATTTTTTTATCATAAATTTTGAGAAAAGTGATTTTATAGGAGAATTTATGGTTAAAAAGTAGTGAAAAGTTATAGATCCACGTGCAAGAATGTGTGGTTGAAAATGAGTTGAGCAAAAAATGGTTTTTAAAGATTCTTTATCAAACAGGAGCTTAAACAATATGAGAACATATTATCTGAAGATTAAGCTCCCGTTTGGCCCCTTTTTCTTTAAAATTTTCCTTCTCTCTCTTATTTTAAACCACAAATTTTCCATAAATTAATATTACACGTAAACCAAAAACGTTTCCTACTTTTTCAACCATACATTTTCCAAAAAAAAAATAAAAAAAAATAATAATAATAAAAATGCCAACTATTCCATACATTAAAAATTGAAAGAATATCACGTTAATAAAGATGCCAAGGAAATCTACGATTTTAACTCCTGGCACGTGGTATCACATAAACAAAAGTCAAAAGGGCCCTTACAAGACATAACAGGGTGCAATTTTAGAGCCTAGACTAACTATTCATAGCTTTGCTCCACAATGAACAATTCTCTTCTAAAATAAATGGTGTGCCATGCCTTTCTTACGTAACTTCAATTGATATTTTAACCCCGTTGATTTAGAGCAAACCTATATGTCCAGTGTTATTTCAAAAACATGCACATAAAACCTTAGCAAAAGCCTCTAGTTAAGTGCATAACTAAGGAAACCACAAACAATTTAATCATGTATTTGAAGATTACACTAGAGCTCTACTATGAATGTTGAACAGAAATGAAACCTACCAATGTGCAAACCAGTCAATAAAATAATTTTGCAACTCTTGGACATACATTATTACTATTGTATAACCAAGTTCTCTGTCCAGATTTGATTTTTGTGTGTGCATGTTTTTTTTTTTTTTTTTAAATAAATATTATTTAAGGTATCACCAAGTTCTCTTAGTCTATAACTTTCTTACCACTAAATTTCTGTTTTAGAAGTGACAAATATAAGAAGAAACTAGTCTTTGATGCGTTGTCTTCATGCACTATGAAACAATATTCATAGTTGTATATAGTCCAACTTCTCAATAAATAATAGCAATCAACCATTTAATAAGCAATTCAAGGAAAAAAGGAAAAGTCGATATTTCAAGATAACAACAATCACTCTTACAAATTATTGTAAACAACTCACCATGGGAACCAAAATATCTTCTTTTCCAGTGCTTCTCAAAAATGTGTATGACAATAATCCAATGCTTTGCGTAGGCCTAAAATAAAATTTAAAATTTATACAAGTTTGGCCAAATTGCAGTAAACAGATCGTTGACGATGAAATATAGCACCAGGGTGTTACATGAAGAATAGCTGAGGAAATAGAGGAAGAAGAACTACCACACAGAAGCAGAAGAGAAACCTGAGAAAGGGAAAGAAGAAGGAACTGGCGGACTTTGAATTGAAACGGCATCGTACGGTACTAAATGAAACTGTGTCATTTTATTCTAATAATTGTTGTTATTCGTTAGAAATTGTCTTTTACTTTTGGGTTGGAAAGCACGACTTTATATATATACAGCCATGCGCAAAGAGGAAAGACGGTCTGTGATTTTTCTACCAAATTGGTTGTTAATTGAAGTGATTCAATTCAGTCCTCTCCTCATTTTTACTTTACATTGTTTAATCCCTCCTCCATTCTCTTTTACTTTGAAATTAATATCATAATTCCTTATTTCAGCTGGAGTAAATTCGAGTGTTGGTTTTGTGCAAAGCTGTGTTGCGAGATGTAGTTCAGCTCATGACAAGGTCTTTGATCACCTCTATATTTGAATCTCAAAGTAATCTTCTTCACTACTGAACTACTCCAAGCATTTAACTGCATGTCACATCAAATAATATATAGGACAAAATTTTCAAATAAGAGTAAAGAATATAAACCTTTTCCCTTCTCCCCCAGAACATCGTGAGAAGACAATGACATCAGCTCCAAGCCTCATAGTACTTGTTTTAAAGCCATTTCCATCTGGTATAAAGAGCACCAGATAAATCAATAGGCGAACTAATAGGTGCAATAGAAGGCAGCTATTATTACCACAAACACATTAGCAAGACCAACTTGCTCTTCTACTGGTTGATTGAAAAAACTGGAGTTACTTACATTGTCCAATAGTATCTACCATATTGCTTTTCACGGAGTACCCAAGAGACATGCATTGCCGCATTTTATCCGGATCCATCCCACCACCATTATCTATGGAAAAGTTACAGCAAACAGTTATGACTAAAGCAAGTTTATCAACGTAAAGTCATCAGAAAAAAATTAAACAAACACACAAAAAGATAAAAGTGTGATTAGAAATGAAAAATTGAAAGGAGAGCACCTAAGCTAATAAGTAATATTAAATAAGGGGTCAATGGTCACATATTAAACACCAATTTTCTATAGCAAGCAGTAATAAATAGGAATAATGCATATACAATATCGATGATATATTTATGGGACAAAATAACAGGAGACGTCATATCTGCTGATCCCGAGCCAACACAGGCCGTAGCCAATGCGCTTAGGCCTAATATCCAAACACCATCAGGGCAAACAGCAATTAGCCACAGCAGATTTGTAGTGTACCCCGAGTTGGCAGGGGGCCAGACCATGCTGCTGGAGATTGTAGTGTGTGCCACATCCACAGCTATCGATAGATGCAACGCACATCACCCCCAGAAGGACACAGCACACGTGTGGCGGTTCATGATAATACACACTGTTCTCATCTTAAGAAAATTCTCCCAGACCCCTGGATTAATGATTAGTAGCGATGCCTTCCCCACTTCTATTTGAACCTCATTTTACTAATCTATACGCATGTGCTTATGGAGATGTAGAAGGTGTTTAGCATCCCTCTTTCTATAAAATGGGCCACATCTCAAATCATCTTTTTATTAAACTAAAAACCCTATATATTTTTATTTCAATAAATATGAATACCTTCAATCAACAACATTTTGCTGCCATCTTTCTTGCTTTTAACCATATCAATGTTCACGTATGTTGCTCCATTGCAGACCTGACATTACAAAAATGCAAAGAGCAATTACTCCAGAAGTCTAAAGCAACCAAACAAACATGTGACTCGTTACTGATCATCGAAGAAGGTCCATAGCATGCCTCATCCAATGAATTGTCTAAAAGCTCCGCAAAAGCTGCAGGAAAAAATTATAAGAACATAAATAAGGAACACAATACATATAATACTGTTGCTACTCCCCAGAAAACCAAAACACACAGTGATACAATGCATCCCCACTTTATGAATATGTTCATCTCCTTTATACCTCCAAGAACCCACTTATGACTGGTTGCATTAGAATGTAGAAATTTAGGATGAACTCTGACATGATCCATGCCACCTGCATAAGAATTTTAAATCAGGAACTAGTTTTTGTTACTAAATATAATTTTATTAAGTACGAGAAGGTGCAATAAAATCACTACAGAGATACTTATTTTTCTGTAAAGCTTTCAATTTCTCTTGTATGACTTGAGCCCACTTAGGATCACCTAAGGCTTCCTCCACACTATTTGGAATGTGACAGGAGGATAATGTCTCTGTGAAGATCTTAATGGGCTCAGTTAGATGTTGAGTGGACACATAATTTGCAATGGGGTATTTAGACCGCCTCTCTTCTTCATCAGGGGAGTATCTGTTAGGCGGCTTTCCTCGATTTTGCTCGAAAGGCAACACATATTCCACGGGAGCATTCAAGTTAGCAGCATATGGAGGAGTAGTAGGAGAGCTTACCTTAGGATTGTTCTCAGTAAGAGAGTCGGGTACTATCAAGGGAAGGGGTTCTTGACTTTTTTGGTTTATAGGCTAATGAAGAAATCTTTTACCATCAACACCCTCAGAACATATAGCTCATGCTTCTACAATTCTAATTCTATAATATGTTAAACAAAAACACAATTTCTGGAAAAAGTCGGACTAAAACTGCAATTGCTTTTAAGTCGAAACCTGCAATTATAAAAACCCGAAATGCAATTTCTAATCTAAATTTTCAACCATTTTGATCAAAATTTCCTTTAATGATATCGAATCTGAGAAAAACTAAGAAAATATACAAAAACTTCTCTTGAGTTTCCGAATCTTTCTCTGGAGTTTTCAAAGAGCTTCAGTTTTAAATAACATGAACTTTAGCCATTTTGAAAGTTTCGTGTAACCTATCTTCTATCCAGCATTATCATCTAAAAAGGCAGACATGCAATTCAAAAATTTACCAGTAGCCGACTCCCAGTCACCAGAAGGCGTTTCATCATAGTTCCCCGCCTTCCAGAACTGCTTACAACCGCTCACAATCACAGCATTTCTTTGCGGCGGCGCAGGCAACGTCAACACAGCCTCTGAATCTCTCGATACCGGTTCTTTAGCCGGCAAAGGGTCAAGAAATCCCACCGGCAACACAAAACTTAAATCCTTCCCTCTCTTATTCTTCTTCTTCTTGTTTCCATAAATTTCCCCCCTAGACTCCCGAGGCCTTTTGTTAAAAATTCCGGCAATATCATTGTCGGATAAAGCATCCGAATCGGAGTCAGAGTCGGATTCAGAATCTGAGCTTGACAAGTTGACAATGCAAGCCGGCGTCTGGGAATCGTTCGTCCTCGACTTTATCTTGCGACTCAGCTCGATAATTTCCTGTTTAACTTGGATTTCCTTCTCAGTTCTCGCCATTGCTCAGCGAAAAACTAAAGGCCCGTAGAAGAAAAGAGTTATTAAAAATAATAAGTGATCAAAAGTAACCTCTTTAGAAATAGTGTTTTATGGTATAAATATGGAAGATTCACGAGCGGTCGGGTTGCCTGGATCCTCTCCGGTTTCAGTTTACAAGTTTCTCTCCGGTTTCAACTAAAAACGTTAGTTTGAAAACAAATTTATATAACGATGATGCCACTATTTCTCACGAGGGGAAAAAGGGTAAACGTCCTTAGGTGGTTGGGTTGGATGGGCCCTCCAGTTTCATCTTTTACCGTCTTTTCCAATTTTAACTGGAAACCTTAAATTGTAAAGAGAACTAAACTAGAATAATGCTACTTTGTTAGAAAATATGCGACATAATGGTTGACATAATGAGTGTTGGCAAGATGTAATTAGTTGAAAGAAAACGATTGTATTTTAAACAATTCAATGATAGGTAGTCACGTGACATTATGTCAAGTATTATGTTAGTCATTATGGCTATGTAGCATGATTGAGTAAACTAATATAAATGAAATAATAGTTAAAAAAAAATGAAGAATAGATAAAGTTAAAGTTAGTCCGAAAGAGTGAGATTTACTGTCTCGAGTTTTACACAAATTCAACAAAGAATGGGTTAAAAAGAGAGAGAAATAGTCAAAAATCATGCCACGGCTTTTCAGTAATAGTTTATTGAATTGTTCTTATGCGTAAAAATTAAAAAAAAAAAAATCTTTGATATCGCTTTTATAAAATTGTGATTTTCCAAACTAAACTATCAATTTCTGATTGAAAATAATATCATTAAAATAAAGGATAACGTTTGTTTTTAGTATCATTCTTGGCCATTAGCGGTGTTTTAGATGTCGCCATTAGATATAGTTTATGTAAATTCAATAAATATATAGTTCATTTGAATTGTACAAGTTCACATTGTGCATAGTTTGTATGAGTTATACACGAAAAGATATATGTTATATAGTGACAATTTATATACGAATAATTTATTTATATCCAATAAAGAAATCTAATGATCACTAGTCAATTTAATAGTTGATGTGCGATGATAAGATCAATTGAGAATAATGTTATTGTCCCCACTAAGGATCAACAACATGTGAAGTACGGTTAAATGAAAATATCAATTTAGCCTTTATTTGATTCTCATTCTTCTAAAAATTCATTTTTTTTTCAAAATTTATTTTCAATCATACATTTTTCAATAAAATAATATTACAGTCAAATTCAAAACTTTTTTTAAATTTTTAACTGCGAATTCTTCATCAATTTACAATTCAAAATACATTATTTTCCCCATAATGAAAATCAAACAAGGGCTTAACATGAAACAATTTATTGGCTTTTATCATTTTATGGTACATCACATGGGGATGATCACAAAGGACAAATAGCATTACTTCCAATTAAATATATGAAAATGGGACTCGCTTTCTTGTTTTTAACATTTAATGTCACATCATATGGATTGATTCTTTTAGTACATATATGATATTTATGGATGTCAACGAATCGAGTTGAGTAGGCTTGTGAGCCAAAACTTGAGGCTCGAGTAAAAATGGTTTAGGCTTTTTTTGGCCTTAGTTGAACCGAGCAAAATTTAGGTTTGACTCGAGTTTTCAGTTCCGACCTTATCGAGCCGAGCCAAGCCGGCTCACTCTTTTTTTTAAATAAAAAATAAAAATAAAAAAACACATGCAGCAACACGCTGCCCACACTTCCTATAGCTTCGTATTTATTTTTTTAGGGTCAACTCGTCGTAGGCCAACAAGTCACCTGCTGGCTCAGGCTTTTTCCGGACCGAGCCACGAGTGGCCCAAGCCTGTGAGCAAAATTGATACCCCATAGCGTACGACTAATCAATACATACACACGTGTAATTGTGGTGTGCGCTAGTAAATAAACATTTTACCATACTGTTCTCGATGTCAACAATTGACATTTGGGATATTGATTTTATGTAGTTTAGCGTAGCACACATGGAGGTCAAGAGCACAAATTGCTTGCCTCAAGGGTTTTATGCTTTATTCATAGCCTTTCTACAACGGATTGACATATTGAATAATTTGAGCAAGCTATGATCCTACTTTCAAACTACCGTTTGGTTTCATTCAATGACGAGCAATCTTGTTTCGCTCGTCCAACTGGAAATTTGTTGCATTTTCTTTGTTTGTGATTTTCTAGTTAGCAATTTTTTCATTAATATGACCATTCTCTGTCTATGCACTCTTTCTTTTTTTTTTTTACTTTAATGTGATTTAGTTAAAAGAGGATGTCCTGATTATCCTAAATAAATATCTTATTTAGACATTTTCATTGTTGTAAGTCTTGAAAAATGTAGGAGAATATATGGACTTCTAAGCTAATACGACTTACCTTAGTGACTCTTCGTCTATTTATTTGAAATTCTTATTCAGCTTTTGTTCGATTCCCATTAGATCCAAAAAAAAAAAAAATGTGTTTTTAATAGTATTTTAAGGAAAATGCACGGTCAAAATATAGGGAAAAGTTTTGAGTTTATGTGTAAAATATTTTATTGTGTGAATGTGTTGTTGAAATGATCATATAACTAAAATTAAATTAAATTAACGATTGTCAAACAAGGGTTAAGTCTTTAAACACATGGAGGATTCTTTCTCTTTAATTGGTACAATATTCAATAAATTTTTCCATGAACAACTATGAAGTCGTCAACATTTGGAGCGGAGAGAAGAATAATGTTACATAACACCTATTCATGTGGTATTATATGATACATTCAATTAAACATGAAATTATTGATTCATTTATTTGTACATTTTATTCAAAATAATGACACTTAAAGCCATCTGAACCATTATTGTAATACCACTGATACTAAACAGTATTACTCCATAGGGAGTTCAAAATTTCGAGCTTTGTGAAAAAAATTTCATTGGACGAGACATTAGTAGACGACTTCTTCAACATATTTTAATGGCAGCACAGTGATATCAATATCCAGTATTGTCTATCATAGCATGGGACTTGTTCGCAGCACTATGACTTTATTAATACTTATAATCATAAATTCTATCATGAGAGATTATATGTTAGACCGAGATTATCATGTGGTTTGGACAATTTACAACTTAGAAGTATATGTTTGTATGCGCCAATAACTTCAAGAAGGCGAAGGTGACCTTTTGATATTTTCTCAGATGTGCATTGCAGACTATTAAAGAGAGGAGTATCGCGCAATACTTTGTTGAAGCAACTACATCGAGAAAGAGTTCGCGAAGTAGACTTGTTGGGAGATCCATCTGGGCGTCCTTTCGATTTCTACGTACTGTATGGGACACCCAAAAGGAAGAAGAGAGTGCCTCGTTCTGAAAAGTATGGGTTACCTCCAAGAATAATACCCCCTCCCACAGGTTGGGTAACTGATGAGGAAGCATTAGAAAAAAGTAAGAAGGAACTTCAGGAGACAGAGGATCAGCACGATATGCTGCACGTCGACTTATCACAGGGGGATAATTTGACAGAAAACAAGAAGGAAGTAGAAATAGAAGCTGCCGAAAAGGTTATTTTTAAACGGCCAGCCATGAAATTGACTAAACACTTGAGGCCACTGTACGTTAAAGCTCTAGTTAACGGCATCCCAGTGGCAAAAGTACTTATTGACAATGGAGCAGCTATAAACATCATTCCATCTAGGATGATGAGGAAGTTCGTAAAGACAGAGGGTGACATGATTCCCACAGAAGTCATCCTCACGATCTTCAATGGAGGAGCAACTTCAGCCAAGGGAGTTATGCCATTGGACATAACTATAGGGACAACTACTAGGACCACTGTTTTCTTTGTAATAGACGGTCCTACTAGTTACAATGTGCTACTAGGAAGAGATTGGATACACGGAAGTCGCTGTATACCCTCATCGCTCCATCAATGCCTGATCTTTTGGAACAACAAAGGCGAAACAAAAGTGGTACAGGCCGATCATAGGCCTTTTGTTGCAAAAGCAAACTCGGTGGAAAAGTTCATGTACGAAGGAAACTATGGACCTGTCAGGGTAGTACAAGATGGAGAAGAAACTCAGGTTGTCGCGCAAAGCGAAGAACCGTTCTCAGTGGACGCACTCACTGAAATGTTCAAACAGATGAGGCCAAATATAGTGGCTCTGGAAGAGCCAGTAATTGGCAAAAGAATAATCAAGTAGTCTTGAATGGATTCTAAGTTACGAAAGCAAATGGCCGACATTCAGGCCTTCAAAGCCAGATTGATGGCTTTCAATAAGGAATGCAATGACAAGGCGAAATAAGAGATAGCCCTAAAAGCGCTGAAGGACAAGTTGGCAGTATTCGAGTTAGAGCAAAGCATTGGCCGAGAAATCAACAAGGTGGACTGTTTAGAAGAGAAAGTACTTATAAGGGAACTGGACGACGAAGTGATGCAGATCGCCAAACCTGGATACGCTCAAGCACAAGACCCTCTGATCAAAGTAAATATTGACAATGAAGGAGAAGATCGCCCAACATTCATCAGCCAAATGCTCGACCAAGAGATTAGTAACAAATTAATCGCTTTGCTAAAAGAGTACAAAGATTGTTTTGCTTGGGAATATGAACAAATGCTTGGTTTAGATAGAGACTTGGTGGAACACAGGTTACCAACTAAGCCTAACTTTAAACCTCATAGGCAGCCTCCTAGACGTTTTGCTCCCAATGTACTCCCTGAAATCAAGAAAGAGATAGAGCGATTATTGAAAATAGGTTTTATTAGAACACCAGATATGTCGAATGGTTGTCCAATATCGTGCCAGTACTAAAAAAGAATGGTAAACTAAGGGTGAGTATAGACTTTAGAAATTTAAACATAGCTACACCCAAAGATGAGTATCCAATGCCCACGGTGGATTCTTTAGTAGATTCGACTGCCGGACATGTCATGTATTCTTTCATGGATGGGTATTCAGGATACAATCAAATTTATACAGTTGAAGAAGACATACACAAAACTGCCTTTAGATGCCCTGGGTCTCTAGGATGTTTTGAATGGGTGGTTATGCCTTTTGACCTAAAAAATGCAGGAGCAACTTATCAAACGGCAATGAATTTAATCTTTCATGATATGATAGGCAAGTTTGTTGAAGTGTATGTAGATGAC